CCGTAGAAGACTAAGCTTTCAAGCAGACAAGAAAGGGAAGATAGCATTCAAGAAGAAGAAACAGTTTGTACAGGGGCACAAAGTTATCAAAAAGTTTTGCATTCAGGAGCAGTCTGCTCAAGACCTCTAGACTCCAGCACCTAGTAAAATACCAGGAGATAAGGCTGAAGATAATGGGAATGACTTGTTGAGTTATGCAGAGGAGTATGGGGTCTATTCTGAATAAAACTTGAATCCCTTAGATGCTTTTAAATAAGATTTGACATGAACAGTTGTGTTTGTTGTTTGTTTTCTGGAAAGTAACTCTGGTAGTGTTTTGGAAAATGGAATGAAGAAGAAAAGACTTGGTACAAGAAAAGAGCAAGGAGGGAGTTGTTACAACCTTCCAAAGGAGGAATAAGAAGGGAAGGAAAAAGATGATGGAGAGATTCTAGGGACATCTCAAAATGGAATTTACAGAATTTGATAGCTAGTTGGATGTGGGAAGTAAAGAAACAAGAGAAATCAAGGATGACACTGACATTTCTAGCTTGGAATGGTAAAGCCATTGACTAGAGTGGTGAATATAAGAGAAGAAGGCTCAGGATGGGAGAAAATATGTGTAAAAGAGAATACATATCTTTATTTACATTAAGACATGGTCTATGGGACAACAAAGTGGAAAAGACCTCTAGATAATCAGCAACACAGATCTAGGGTTCAGAGGAGATTTCATTACTTGAGACACAGATTTGAGAGTAATTTTCTTAAAATAGACCCCATCTGAATAGGCAAGACTGTCCAGAGATTGTTGATTATGTACATGGTACTATCTATGCAAAATATTGTAGGGGAATGTCTGTAGGTTAAATAAATATTGTTGAAATAGTATAGCTATATAGACTCAAAGCTGGTTGAATAATAATCCTACCTCCCCATCAAAAAATTAAACAAAAAAAGTAGATGAGTTGACCAGAGTTGTCTAATGACAAAGACCTACTCTGGCTCCCTGCTTTCATATAATATGAGTTCTATCCTTTCTTCCTTCCCTGATATTCTATAGCATGATGTGTCCCTCCATCTATCTAAGGTTAATGCTGTGCTTTGGCATCTCCTTGCCTTTCTATTGTCTTCTTTCTAGCATTTAAACACACTTGCTCAAATCTACCCCAACTTAAGAGACCCTCCCTCAACCCAATAGCCCCCACTAACTACTCATTTCTTTCCTTCCTTTTGCAACACATTCCTTTAAAGACTAGCCTACCATTTCTATTTCCTTCCTCACTCAATCTTAAACCCACTGTAACCTGGCTTCTGCACCTATCACTTGTATCTCACTAAAACCAACAATGACCTACAATATTGATAAACCCAGTGGATGCTTTTCAGTCCTAATTTTACTTAACCTCCCAGCAAAAGTTTTGATATAAGTGACAACCTCCTTTTTAATGACTCACTTTTTTATTGATTTGATTTCTGTGACACTACATCCTTCTGATTTCTTCCAACATCTATGGCCCTATCTTCTCACTTTCCTTCACAGGAAATAGTCTTCTCCCAGGCCTTATATACCAATACTCCCAGATTCTTATAAACACTCTTCATTTCCACTCCACACATTCCCTGGGCAATCTTGTCCATTCACACTCTGTCAACCATTCTCTATATGTGTATTTCTCCCATATTCATATTTCTACCCTAGAACGCTATCCTGAGTTATAAATCAACATGCCCAGATCCCTGCTAGTCATCTTTGCTGGGAGATCTTACAAACACTACAAACCTGACATGTACCAATCTGAACTCATCAACTTCCTCCCTGACCCTATTACCTAAGAAAATTGCACGCTAATGGAACACTGGGTGTTATGCCCAAACAATGAATCATGGAACACTACATCTAAACTAATGATGTAATGTATGGTGATTAACATAACAATAAAAAATTAAAAAAAAAAAAAGAAAGAAAATGGCACGCTATTCTGCCAGTTGCCCATGCCAGAAATCAAGGAATCATCCTTAGCTATTTCCTCTACCATATATCCAAACTATTATCATATCTTGTTGATCTTATCACTCAAATATCTCTTGATCTTCAATGCTATTATTCTAATCCTGGTCACTACCATCTCTTGTCTAGAATATAGCCTTAGGCCTAGACTTCATGTCTGATATCTTGCTTCTTCTGTTCTTCAGCAACCAAATGATTTTAAAATAAAAATCATATCAAGTCACATACATCTATCTTCCCAAGTAAAAATTTCTTGTTACCCTTAAAATAAATCCAAATTCTGGTTTTACAAGCCCCTCCATGATCAGGCTTTTTTTTTTCTTTTTTGTCTCACTGTTTATCATTCTCTATTTCAAGTTGTAATTTTCAGACATTCTGAACATTTTATAGTTCTCTACCTCTCCAGATTTTCATACTTGGTGTTTCCCTGCCTCCACCTTGTCTTCATGTGGCCAAACCCCATTCATTCTTTGGATATCTGCATGAAGGCCACTTTTTTTTTTTTAAGATTTTTATTTATTTAACAGAGAGAGAGAGAGAGCACAAGTAGGCAGAGTGGCAGACGGAGAGGGAGAAGCAGGCTCTCCGCCGAGCAGGGAGCCTGATGCGGGGCTCGATCCCAGTACCCTGGGATCATGACCCGAGCCGAAGGCAGCCGCTTAACCGACTGAACCACCCAGGCGCCCCAAGGCCACTTCTTCAGGAAAGTTTTTCTGACCCCTAGATTAGGTTAGGTTCCCTTCATGTAAGATCTTATAACCTCCCAACTTAAAAAAAGAATCATATCATCCATCACAATTTTACTTGTCCAATGACTACCCCTATGTTCTATGAGGGAAAAGGTCATATGTGACTTGTTCACCATAATATTTCAGTTCATGTCACATAGCAGGTGCTCAGTGATCACTTGGTAACTGTGCTGGATGAATCAAATTGAGTCATAGAGACTGACTATGCTACTCTACTTTGTGCATGACAAGAACTGAGAGAGGTAGTAAATAAGTTGGATAACAGAACTGGGTTTATAAATTATCTCAATTGATCAAATTGTAAAAATGAATAAAATAAATATAATGGCCTATATTCATACTCAAAGACTCATTTACATAAATATAAAAGAAAATCATGTTTTAATAGCAGGTCATGTGAAAATGTCTTAAGAGCATGTGCAAGGACTTCAAATTTCACATGGCCCACAGAGGAACATGACTGATAAAGAGAAACTGATGCCATCTTACACTGTATTAGTAGAATATTAGTGTTACACTGAAGAAAGCCTACAGCTTGTCCTTTCATCATAGCCCATTCTTACGTTGTACCTGGCATACACCAAGTATGTAAAGAAAGCTCCTGAATGAAGAGTAAAGTCTTGAAGTGTTTTTGCCAAACTGACCACACCTGAAGAACAATACATAATTTTTGACATTGGTAACAAAGAGTATGCAAAAAAAAAAAGTATAACCTAGTCTAGAAGGAATACCTAACATAGCATTGATTATGTATTGAGCACTGTTCTAAGCACTTTATATATATTCACTCATCTATCATATGAAGTAGGTACAATTATTATCCCCATTCTACAGTGATAAAAGTGAGGCACAGATAGCTTATGTGACCAGAGTCACATAAGTAGTAAGTGGGAGAGCCAAGTATTGAAACCAAATAGCCAGCAACCAGCAGCCCACACTTCTGGAAATCAATTATAACAATATTCTACTAGAAATAAAAAAGGAAAATCATTAGCCCAGGAGTGAGCTGGGGAGAAGATTCAGAAGAAAGCATATTAACTGGCTTCATACTTTAAACATCAGGCAGAAATCAAAAGGAAACAGATCCTGGCTCAATAAAATGAAGAACTTTCTAATGCTTTGATTTGTCTCACTAGTGAACAGTCAGGGTCATTGGGTTCCCTGTTAATAGAGTATCCAGGTAGAGACTAGAAGTCCTTCTATACATGGTATCAAGAGCAGTCCCACTCTGGGAAAAAGGTGAGAATAGAGAACCCCTGAAGTCCATTTTCTAGGATTTGTAATGTTAAGAATACAACATGCACCTCAATCTCAGACAGCCCAGACCAGAACTCAATCAAGATGGGGATTTAATAGGCAATAAAAAACTACCAAGATAATGAAATGGATGGCATTCAGAATAGTGGACCCTCACATCACCTTTAAAGATGAAGATCCCAGTTACCTTTTTCCATATCAAGCAAATTCAGAAATGGAAACAGCACAGCAAAACAATGCCATGCTATAAAACCCTAAGAAATGCCAAGTTACTAATATATGAGGCACGGGTCAACTCTTTATGCACCTGGTTTTCCATATCAATAGATAGTGTCAAAGAATTTATTTGCGTTGTTCAGACTGTGAAATCGCTTCTTTCCCCTCAAAAAGGAGAAGATCTAGTTAAACCTGAGATTAAAGAGGCAGATAAAAGAGTCTCCTGGACTGCGAAGGCCAGGAATTAGACATGCAGCTACTGCTATAGCAGTCAGTCTCCAGACAAGATCCATTACAGGGACGTCTTCCATCAGATGCTAGCGAGGCTAATCCTTTTGCAAAGCATGACAGCTTCTCAAACTTGACTGTAGTGAATCCAAACCAGATTTTTATGCTATATGATCAGCTTTCAAAATACAAAATCATTTTTATATTGTGTTGAGTTTAGGTTTATTACATTTAAATTTGGAAACAAGGATATAGATGCCTGCAATGCAGCTTGTCCCAGACTCCCTTGATGCTCATCTTGCAGAATAAAATGTCAGATAATAGTGAGATAGAAATAAATATATGCAACCAGAGCTGCTTGATAACAAAATGCTGTCAAATGATAACAGAGTTTTCCACATCCTTAAAGAGAACCATTCAAATTTCCATCTCTGAAGAAAGAGAGCTACAGCATGTCACCGGAACATTCTCATTGATCCGTAGCTTTTCAACTGCATGTCATCAACTCTGAAGCCATTTAGTACTCTGACAACAAGTTGGAAATTTTGGAGGTTGACTTACCTTTTTGCAGTCAGATAAGGACTTTTCGCTGGCCAATGTGCTGAAAATGGTGGTCTATGAAACAGAAAGTGGGTGACACATTAGAATCATCAAAGTGTAATGATATTGACTCTGCCTTGTTAATTTCTAATCCATGGTGGGCAACACTTCTTATGACCCCATTGATTTCCCTGGATTTTAAAAAATGCCTGCCCTTCAGTACTCCCACTACCAACCACCCTACCCAAGTTGGAATATTCATTATGGGCCAACAACAACAGAGTGACATAAGGACTCCTACTTATCTTTGTTTCATGAACTAGGTACCTACAGCACAATTCGGTTAATTGTCAAAAATCACATACCTTGGAAAGAGGTGAGTAATCAAAGCCAAGAAGTCTGACTTTAGAACCCACCTTCTCACCCACACATGGTACACTCTCTCTTTCGCTTGACGAGATATGTGCATAATGTCAAATGCCAAACCATTCAAATGAAACCTATTATGAGCCTGAGTGATGAAGGGGAGCTTCTCCCCATTTAAGAGATTTGTGAATCTGAACAGCGGTACCAGATCTTGTCATCTGATCTCTATTTTCTTTAACACACTTGCTCTCCACACGATTTACTTTTTATATATTTTTTTGTTTATTTTCCTGGCCTCATGAATGACTAAAAAGGCACTTTAGCATGCAAGGCCAGTTGGGATTTATATGCAAGTTTGCTCCTTTTGGACTATCCTATGAAGAGTTAAATGTCTATGATCAACCACATAAATGGTATTGACTTTTTTTTTTCAGTAAACCTGTCTACTTTTTCTTTAATTACAAAATATATATTCTTAATGAGACAATCTCCTTTCTAACTTATCCTCTTGAGGTAATCAATAATAAAAATTTGTGTTCATCCGGGATCCTGGGTGGCTCAGTCGGTTAAGTGCCTAACTCTTGATTTCAGCTCAGGTCATGATCTCAGGGTCATGAGATGGAGCCCCGCATTGGGCTCTGCCCTGAGCATGGAGCCTGCTTAAGATTCTCTCTCTCCCTCTCCCCCATCCCCTCTGCTTGCACGCATATGTGTGTGCTCTCTCTCACTCACCCTCAAAAAAAATTCTGTGTTCATCTTTCCACACTTTCTCTATTTATTCAAATACATATCACATTATATGTAATTACATGACATATATTATCTGCATTATATTGCATACACACATACAGAAATTTCTTTTCTTCTTGAGATCATATCAACCTATTTAAGAATATAGTATCAGCACCTTTCCAGGTCAGCTCATATAGATTGGCTCATTCTTCTCAATAGCCACATGACATTCCATAATAGAGATATACCATATTTATATCTATGCTTTCCTTTATGGATGGACATTTGGTAGTTTCCACGTTTGGGTTCTTTTATTATTGCTTTTTGTTTGTTTATTCTTGTCTGCCATTACAAACTATGCTGCAATAAACATTTGTATGTATATGTAAATATATATGCAATATATACATATATATTATATATGTGTGTACATACACATATACATATTTATACCGATAATTTTATTTTGGTTGAATAGGGTCAAAAAACAAAAGAAATGTAAAATAAATAAAGACATTGGTATGGCTTGAAGATGTAATCTACATAAATTTTCTCACACTCTCTCCTTGCATAACATAAAAATGTCTACCCCCCTCCCAGGATTTTGTTTTGTTTTGGGACAAGCACTAGAGATAGTTAAAAATCTGAGCCAGCATATATTCTGATCCAAAGTAATATGCAGCATTAAAGGATGGAAAACACAGATGTGGATATACATACAAAAAAGCATATTTAATGAAAAAATAAATTCAAGGTTTAGATTGGTGTGATCTTGAAATACGGTTTGCTGGCAATTTTTGTGTTTTTATTTTGTTTGTGAGAGAAGGTTTAAAAGTTATCTAGAAAGTTTGAATTAAAAGTAGAAAAGGAATGGGACGCGTGGGTGGCTCAGTTGGTTTAAGTATCTGCCTTCTGCTCAGGTCATGACCCCACAGTCCTGGGATGGAGGCCTGCATCAGGCTCCCTGCTCAGCAGAGAGCCTGCTTCTCCCTCTGCTCTTCCGCCCCCCCCGCTCCAGCTTGTGTGCATTCTCTCTCAATCTCTCTCTTCTCTCAAATGAATAAATAAAACCTCTAAAAAAAAGTGGAAAAGGGAAAGAAGGGAAGAATTTTAAGTGGTGGAAGAGGAAAAGCAAAAGTGAAAAAAGAAGGGCAAGATAAAAAGTTCACAAAATCAAACATAACAGAATTATCAGGAAAAAGAAAAAAAATGGCTCCCATAAAAAAACAGCCATCTTTGCTCAAAGAGAATGAGGGCATGTGACTCATTCTTCTTACCATAATTAAACCCACTGACCTAATTTCAACCCTGACAAATAACAGCCCATGTTGACAGGAGTGGATATATTCTTGAAGTTCCATGCTGTCTTGTCCTTTGCTGTTGCCAGGTATATCTTAGTTTCTCTTGTTTCCATATTCCTTGTGACTAGAAGGAAAGATTCTTGCTTGCTATTCAAAGACTGAACCAGTAAGGAGAGAGAAAAGCCAAAGAAAGAGAAACAGTAGCTCTCAACATGCTACTGAACCACTCCACCTGCAATCTTCCCACCAAATGCCTTCCTTATGATCTTTCTTTGTATTTATGTATTTGTATACATGAGCACCATGTTATGAGAGAGGCCTCAATGTTCACACTCAGATTCCTGATCCGTGAAGATACAGACCCCACAAGACTTGGTCATTGCTGTAGCCCCATTATCTAGCCCAGTGCCTTCCATGAAAAAAGGTATCCAATAAATATGCACTAAACAGATGCAAAAAAAAGAAAAGAAAAGAAACGGCATCAGGTGAAATTGCAGTCCCTGTCCCAAAACACTGCTTTGGAAGCGCGGTGCCAGAAAAGCAGCCTCACGTATAATAACATTACAAAGTAAAGCCTAGGGAGAGAGGAGAATGAGAAATAAAAGACATCCAAAAAGTAGTAAAATACAGTTTCTATTGTCTATTATCTGCTTGGTTTGGTTATCGATTTTTCAGTGTCACCCTATGAACATTTTGGACTGGATAATTCTTTGCTGTGGGGGTGGGAGTGTGCTGTGCTGTGCAGCATCCCTGACCTCTACCCTGACCTCTACGCACCAGATTTCAGTAGTACGCTCCACCCCCTGACCTCAGTCCTGACAACCAAAAATGTCTCCAGATTTTTCCAGGAGTCCCCTGGAGTGGGCAATTCACCCCCCATTGAGAAGCACTGGTCTGAACTCAAGAAGAGCTAGTCATGGAAATGACCCTGATTTCTTGACCAGTGTAACTAAATTTTTAACAGGAAACAGAAGTTGAAAAGTCAAAATCTGGAGAGGACCCAAATTCTAGCTACTGAAGATTCCATGTGGGGGCAACTTGAGAGACACTAATTGCATTTTTAAGTAAGTTTAAGATATACCACTAGGGACAGTAAATTAAGGAACATGTCTAAGAATTCAGATAGTAGTGCTCTAGCCCCAGGGGAAATGATCTTCGAGATTAAACAATACCATTCAACCTTCAAGAATAATCTCAGGTGACCTGAGAAATATGTTTGGAGGAGAAATGAGTCAGAGATGGGTGAAACTGGCTTCACTAAAAAATTAATACAAGTAGCTCTAAATGTTATATTTGTAGAAAGGAACCACTTGAGCTAAAGGACAAATGTACAGTGAAATCTCAGTACCTGGAATGAGTATGAAAGAAGTATGGCATGGGTCAATGAGAGTCTGTATCCTTAATTTGGCCATTTTCTAAGGGCATTTTACTTATAAGCTCCGTTGGTCTCATTTCGTTCCCATCAAAAGAAACTGGCATTCCAGGTTCCTAATTACAGCTATTGTAAATGACTTTGGGTGGGCTTTCTAAACCTTCCAATAACATATTCACTTTAATTACTGGAAATGAAAGGCTCAAAACATGGTGACTTACCCACACTGTGACCTTCTTGACTGTTGCATCAATATTTTTCTACTAAAGAGGAAACCCCTAATGAGTCTCCTCCACCAAAGTTTGCATGATGCTGCATTTGTCAAAGGAGTGCAAGTACAATGGTGCACAATGACTTTTTAGAGCACTGACTTCAAACTCTGTTGGCAAGGTGACCAGCATGGGGTGAACAGTATTATACATAGAAGTTGTAGCAATTTGCCAAATGAATCTAGAAAGGTGAGGCCCTACTGTTGTCCATTTATATACTGGTACCTGAAATTTCACTTATTAGAGCCCTGCTTTTCACAACAGGCTTTGAATCATCATAGACAAAACCTCAAGGGATGCTAGGGTATAAGAGTCAATGCAAAGGGGGCAATTGAAAATTTCATGTATTGTAATTATTGGTCTGTTACACCTTAGAAGGAATGAGTGTATCAGATCCTTTTCTACAAGCAGATTTTTGACTTTGGGTTTTTTAAGTTTTCTAAAAATTTCAAAAACAGATTTTGATGGGAGAGAAATGAAGACTTACATAAAAAAGACACTGGACACTCATGGTGATGGGAAAAGATCTAAAAACATAGGTCACATCAGGCTCCCTAAAAAGCAGACTGTGAGATGGAAGTTAGTTAGCATACAGGAGGTTTATTAGGGACTACTCTCAGGAACTCCACTTGTGGAAAGAAAGGGAAGGGTTCAGGACCAAGCACAGGAAGAAGCTGGGCCCTGGTAAAACTCAACAAAGGTCTCAGTCCACCAAACAGGGAGCCCTGAACTGGGGTAGACTTGTCCCCAGCTGGGGTGGAGCTAAGAGCTGCCCTGGAAGGGGGGCATGACCCTAGGCAAGATGACTATTTTCAGCCAAGGGCAATTTCCTGAGAGGGTGGACAGCTGAGAATAGACAGCCAGCTGCACTCCTAGAAACAGGGACATCTGTGTGGAGCACTGCTGTGTCCACTACAATATACTTTACTTTGACACACTTTGCCAAGGGCAGATACTGGTTGTGACTGACTTAACTCTAGTTGAACATGATCCCTTAATAGAACTTAGAAGTTTGCTGATCTTTTATGATAGAAT